TAACATTTAAGTTTTAACCAAGTGTTAGCATTCCACTGTGGTAAGTGAATGACAAGCGAATGATATGGCTGTGTATTCACCCAAGCAATTTTCAGATGGCTTAGATTTGAGGCCCTGCTCTCTTGGACCAAATAACATAGACACAGAACTCCTTTGATTCTACACTGCACTTGCAGCTGCTGCTCATGACCCACTTGCATACAGCATAGAAATGTCAGATGGCCGTTCTTTACACTGCGAGTCTGAAGTAGATGAAAAAAGGTCTCTTTTGTCCTTCAGAATGGCATTTATTTGAAGAACTGAAATGAGTCAAATTGGAATGATAGTACTTAATCACATTCCTTTACTAATATACAGGCAGAAATTATAAGTGATGTAGTTCAGTATGTATAAGTTAACCTCACAGTATATATTTCTTAAAAGGATAGTGGACTTACTTTCTTGTCTACTTTTAACATGTGAATATTGCTTTTCTTTCTTATTTCTATTAGTGTATATATGTTCATATTTAGTTTGTGTTGTGTTTTGGCGCATTTTATGTTTTCCTCAATGTTGTTTATCTTCAAAGAACAATAGAAAATGCAAAATTTGAAGGAAGATATAAAGAATATTGATTGTTTGTTGTCATATTTATCATTTGTCAAAATAAACAACAGACTGTTCATATGATAAAGAAATGTGATTTATTCTAATTAACATCATGATGTATACTAGCATTAAATCATATCCAGTTTTAAAGAAAGGTCTGTAATAAGTGTGATTGATTGGTTTTGTCTCTCTGAAAAGCACTTTTTTCATTTGATATATTCCCAGTTACTGTTACCCATTTTCTCTTTTCCCTAAGCTGATATTCGACAGAAAAGTCACACTCTTATCTTTAAGCTAATCTTACCTTACCCTTCTGTAGAGTCCATTGCTTGGTAGAAAGTGAATTTTTTAGGGGTAATCCACTTTTTAAATCCCCTTGTTGGCTGCTATTTTATTTTGTTTTATCGACAGAGATGTTAGGGTTTTTCCGGAAACATATGAATTATACATATAGTTTATGTTGAGTTATCTTTAGTGTGGATCGTACCATATGTGTCTCAGAGGTTCAGGAAGTTTTCAGGCCATTGTACATCTTATTCTTTTTATTTGTTCATGAAAAAAAAAATCACTCTTTTTCCATGATTTTCTTTTTTTTTTCTATTTTCTTCTTTTCCTGTAAAAATATACTTGTATCTAGTGTGAACTTCACTGGTTCTTTGAGGAGACCCTCAAACTAATTGCATCTGTTGTATCTTATTACAAGATTTATTTCACCTTTATAGGGTGATTCAGGACAACATTGTCTTGATCTCGAGGGCCCTCCGGCACCAGTTTGTCATCCCAGAGTGGCTTGACTTCATCTCGCACATCGAAGAGTTCTACTGGTCCGTCAAAGGGCTGACAGGAGGAAAGGTAAGTCCAGCTGGTTGTTGCTGCTTTGGCATTGTTGCAAAGGAAGTTGTTCATGGCTGTATGATGTAAGAAAACAAAAAAAGGAAAGCAAAACATGTTTTTGATTTGATAGACATTAATCCAAGTAGGTTTAAGCTTCATTCCGCATTTTTATAAGGCAGAGGTGATCTTAGTTATTTTAGGCTGTCAACAGAAAATGAGCTACAACTGTTCATAGATGTGCATGATATTGCTGTGGTGATAACATTTTAATTTACTCTGCGGTTGTGCATCTGGATGATGTGTATACATATAAGTGTTATGGTTCCTTGTTTCCAGTGCTTCCCGTCTTTGTGTTGAGTAACCCCTCCCCCAAAACGAAAAATAGTAGCAGCCAAAAAATCCACCATTTTTCCATTTCTTTGTCACTTTGTGAGATATATGCAGTTTGACATGCATGATCATTGGACTTTGAGTTCTTTTTTTTCCAAGTATATTGTGAAATGTGAGATCTCTTCATTTTAGTGATAGGGTGTGGTATTGACCCTTACCTTGTAGGTTTTTAGAAATTACCTAATTATATGTATGTGAGTGTGAATTACTGATTGTTCTACAACAGATTTGCTGTGTTTATATCAAGTGAAGAGAGTATTCAGTTTACTTTATCCTTCCATAGAGACATTAAAATTATATTGTGGAAATAAGAGAATGGCTCAAAAAATGCTATCATTAATACAAGTGGAACAAAAGTGTGACTGGTGTGAAAAATCATTCAAAAACTAGAAGTCGTTTGCGAAAATATGTCAGAGCTGTAGATAGTCCAACCAGGGACTTAGCCATGTAAGGGCTAAAGAGAGGGTAAGCCTCCTTACTCAGGAGAAGTTCGAAAATGTGTATTTGAATACAACTTTTTTTTTATCTGAATAAGAGTAGAAGTAATTGTTTTGTCCCCTGATCATATCATTGTCATATTGCAAGATAGCATGTTCTCTAACGCTGCATTCGGAACTCCTCGTCTTACTTGTCTAGACAACTTGTCATGACCAGCAGGACAACGAGGCTACGTTCAGAACCTCCAAGACCTTTGCTGCCCAGAGTGTACCCAGCTTGAAAGTAAACATTTACTCATCTATTATACCAGTGTATATATTTTACACACTGCATAGGTTTTGTAACTCCTTTGATGCATATTTAATGTACCCACAACTGACAAACACAAAAATATCCTTTGATAGCATCAATAACGGACCATGAAATAACCCACCAGTATCTTGTGGTTGCCTGCAATTGTCATTGTTTACATATAAATGCTATTGTGACGTCATCTCCTCCTACTTGCCCAGCTTTGAAGGAGGGCAAGATGACGATTGCCAGTACGAGAACCGAACAATAGAAACATCTTGTCCAACTTGTCTGAATGAGCTGGACAAGGAGTTCTGAATGCAGCATAAGGGTTGGAAAGGGCCTCAGCAATCCCCAAGACAACTTTCAGCCATTCTGCTTTAGCAGTGTGTAGTTCCATTATTCATATTGTTTCCCATATATAAATTGGCTACAGTCATTTTATATGAGGGACACAGCCCTACTCTTAGCTCCCAAGAAGAGGGACCTTGTGGCCCAGCCATTGGTTGCAACTGTCTTTTGGTCTCTGGTGACTGGGGTAAATATAGGAAAAATAGATCAGAGAATTCTGTTGGTGGTGGTGCTCACGTCCTGATAATGAAATTCTGTATATAAAGTAAAGTAAAATGTTATGATAGAAAGAAAATAAAAACAAGATGAAAAATAAGATGTCAGCATCTTAATCTTCTCTTGAATGTGAACAGTTGTTATAAAAGGTATGACATTTGATTCAAGAAGCTTTCATCAGATATATGATACAGACAAATATTCTATAACCAAAGCATCCTATATTACATATTTGTGATAAACATAAAATATAAACCATACTTTCAAATAAAAACTTGAGGAAGTACTGTACATGTGTATTTATATACTGCATTGCTGTATGGTATATTATAGTGGTGCACATATTATGTTTAGCACATAACGTGTTAAGATAAGGTACTCTGTATGTTAGTACAGCATATATAATACACTGTAATTTTGTACATAATGTTTTATGCTACAGATCATGCTATGCAAACAATTGTAGTTCACATCTTTTTCATTTAATTTAGACTAATATTTCATTAGCTCTAAGTATTGCCCTTATAGTTTATATCTGCTATGTATATGATTAAATGCAGTTGTTCAGTATTTATAGCAGCTTTGGATATTGAAGTGTTGAAGTTATTATTTAGATTTAATAGTGCTGATAATGAATTGAATACCCATTATTATTATTAGAATAATACAGGCAACTATTTTTGTACTATCACTAAGATACAGTAAATCTTTGTAGACTGAAAATTGATTTATGCCAAAGAGATAAGTAAAGGCCTCGATTTTAATTAGGCACATGCACACATGTATTGAACAAGGATGAATGACATTACATGTATTAAATTACACCGTATCGCTTAGATAAAAGAGAAACAAAGGGGATATCTTCTCAGCAGTGCTATATGTGTATATTTCTTGTTTCTTGGGACTTGTATTTTTACTTATCAATAGACTTCATGTGAGATGCTTCACTTGGGATTCCTTGTTGATTCTGCAAGTAAGGGACATAGCAGGCCTGTGTAGTAGTCCATGAGGCAGGGAAAGGAAGTAAGATGGATGAATCTTTCACCTGTGAATGATTTTGAGAAGATTTCACATGTTTGTTCATTATTTGCATCACAGATGGTGCAATTTGAATGAATGAATGAATAATCATTATGAGTGAGAAGCACTTGTCATAATAGTTTGGTTGGAAGGGATGCAGACATAACATTACATGGCAAGAATAATATGTCATTATAATTGTCATTTTCATTATATGTTAGGCTGATTTCTGTATAGAAGTTTGTGTCCAGTGATTTACAGTATTAAGCGCTGTAAAGTCAAAAATGTTGATATTACTGTTTGAGTCAGCTGATGAATTGAAACCAACCTTTAAACAGTCTTAAATAAGAATTCGTAAGAATAAAAAGCTCTAAAGGTAGATGATAAGATATTGCCATAGGCATAAAAGATTTTTCAAATCTTATTTATGATATGAAATGTTCTACAAATTATCTCATGACTATTTGTAGAGACCTAGCCATGCACAGTTTACCCAAGCACACCAATATCATGCAAATCATTTACCTTTTTGGGGTTTTATTTCAAATTCCGGTGATTGACCATAAAAAATATGCAAGAACCTAAATAACACTAAGAACACCAGCCAGCAATACTAAGGATAGAATTTGCATTTTGTTATAATACATGTAACCTTTAGGCATGTAGATCACCAGAGATTTACTTGCTTTCATCTTCATGTCTGAAAAATAAGCCTTATTAATATTTAATATAATCTTTATTAATATTCAAGCAAAACTCGAATATTAATGTAATATTAATGGTACCTTTCTTGTATTTGCCGTGCACCAAAGATTTACAATCAGAGCAAGGTAAGAGTTGTTCCATTTCGTCTGAGTCTTCCAGCCTTGACTTCTCTCTTTTGGACTCACTTGTAGACCGTTTTCTAACTGCTTGTAACTCAGATCCTAGACATTTCTTAAATGTTAATAACCAAATGTTGATTTATGTGAATTTTCCATGTGAATATTGCAGTATATAAGTAAGCAGAGAAGTGTTATCTTCTTTTTTTTTTTTTTTTTATCATCTTTTTTAATGCTGTAATTACTTCAAGATTTCCAGACGTATGGAAATGCCTAAGTGCAGAAAAGGCTATATTGTATGTACAGGAAGTTCAGCTTAGAGTCATCCAGAGACACAAATGAAGCTCCATGAGGCCTTCATAGAGCTCGGTTGGATGGACTAATGTTTATTCCGCACTTATGAATATGTGTTCTCCTCTCTCATGCATTGCGATAAAGCCATTTTGGTTTGTGCTGGAGATCTGTATCATTTCAGACTATCATTAAACTATGCATGGCTTTCATGGAAGTCATGAGCTAAATTCTCTGCTGTTTCCTGTTCCAATTGTTTTTTCAGTCATGGCTGATGATTATAAAAGCTCTAATATAAGGTATGCTTCAGACTTGGGAGAATGACTGATGAATAGCAAAGTCGTAAATGAGCAGAGTCATGCAATTTCATAAACAAAAGTTTGCAGACACACCAATTTGATTAGCTGCATTCTCACTTACTATTTAAATATATATAGCTTTAATTTGATTTAGATAGGATCCACTTAGCTGGCTTGGATCATTTTGTATTTCAAAAGTCAAACGCTTTTTAAGACACTAAAGCCCAACAGTCTCACAGAAAAAATTAGCTTTATTGATTTTTTTCATCACCTGTATGATTTTTTATATAGTTCATTCTTTATACATTTTTTTTTCTTTTTTCTTTTTTTTACATGTGCGTGTGCCTGTGAGTGTGTATGCACATGCGTGTAGGCGTGCATGTACAGAAGCTTTTTGCCTAAAATTATGAGAATGGATATTGTCATTATGCAGAAGTGAATTATATAAGATTTATACATGAAACACTTGAATAAAAGATCTAACTGTGTAACCAATCAAATGTTAACAAACTCTTTCTGTATACTGTACAACTGTCGTTCTGTATGAAGGAGTCCCATGTGTGGCAAGCGAATGTCTCACATAAATATTACTGCACACTACTACCATGTATGTCACACCTTGGACACTGCACATTTGGTATCTGCTGCCACTACCACTTCCACTACCACCACCACTACCACATCCCATCATAATTTCTGAAGGATAACTGGCCATTCTTCACACTGGTAGTTTTCCATGGGTAAAGTTAGGATCTCTGTCTTGTGTGAATCACCCCTTGGTGAAGAGTATGTTGGTGTAGTCTGTTCGCTTATTTTAGATTCGTGATACCAGTACTCCACCGGCTAATGATCCTTGAGTTTTGTATGTAATCATAATGTATCTTCAGATTTATACTCATAGCTAAAGAAAATTTATAAATGTTGATTGAGCTGCAGATGCAGCCAATTAAAAGACACAACCTTTCATGACAGGATCCCCACCTTATGGGGACAGATTTTTTTATTAAGTATGTGTAGCTTTATATTTTTTGTTTGTGAAATCCTGTGATGTCAAACAAAATGAGGGTTATTATCAATTTAGTTGATTTTGAATTTGCTAGTTGATAGCAGAAGATAACACATTAATCACACAATAGTACCTACCTAGATATTCCAGTCATGAGGCATTTGAATGTTTATATATTACTGATAAGACTATGGGGCTATCAGCCAAATTATTGCAGTTCCTCTCACATACAGTCAACTGTTGACATGATCTATATATTATGTATTTATACTGAGTGTCAGTTTAAAGTTAAACGTGGAAGGGAATATTGCAGAATCATTGGTGTGACGCGGTGTCAAATAAGACATATCGTTTTGAAACTGATTTTAGATCTTTCGCTTCTCTGACAAGGGGATTCCAGCAGCACTTTTGTGGGTATGTGTCTTAGTGTGCAAGAGTTAATCCTACTCTCAAGCTTATGTTCATCAGAGAGAGAAAGAGAGTACTTAGGGAGTGGAAGAAGCCAATTGAAATATCCATGTAATAAATGCATGGCTTCAGCAGCTTGGTAATTGGAGTAGATATATTTTTAACTGGGACCTTGATGATCAGCAAATATTTCCGTTGATTTTTATTATTTTTTATTTGGTTATTTTTCCTACTATTGCAAATAAGAGTCGATGTTTTGGTGCATGGTAGAGATATCTGTTGATGCATTTTTATTATGTCAAAAACTGTAGATTTTTGTTTGAAAAGAACCACACACTGTAAGGAATATATGGAAAATCATATGAACTGCATTCAAAGTATTACAGGTAGATGTAAGTGAAAGTTGCAATGTCATTTTAATGTTTATGAATGTTGAAAAAATATGTCTCACGTTAATACAATGAATGGCAGCCTACAAGTTTTTCATGTTGGTTTTCATTTATTCCCTAGACTTTGTTTACTTATATTATTGTAAGTTTATTTAGAAAAGTAGTATGTGTAAAGATAAAGGCCTAAAAAAAATGTGCTTATTAGAGAGACAAGATCCGTATTTTAAGACTTATAAGACTTTTTTCATTTAGGAAGTTTAACTCTATTTTTCTTTTATTATTCTGATTTTTTATTTATTTGAGAAGGTGGCAAGTTATGATATAAAATATGTCAGTAATACCATTTTTTTTCAGGCAGAGTAAAATATTATATAAAGATATGCTTCACAATGATCATTTACTGAACGACTGTAAAACTCAGATTAGAGTATTACAAGTGATGCTTTGCTGTACACATTAGAAGTAAACAAGCTTTATTAAGTATTATTTTTGCGTGGTGAATGTGAAAAAAAGAAATATAGTTCAATTTGTACCTTAGTTCTGACAGTGATCACTTACTGCCTTTGGAGAGGTAGCGTTGCTTCAAGCGGCATTTCCTTTGTATGTGCCTTTAGTGCATGATTTTTTTTTTTTTTTTCCTTTTTTTCTTCTAAATCCAGGAAGATTCAGCTCTTTTGGTGTTATGAGAGTTAATGTTGTCTGCATGTTCTCTGAAGAAAGATCAAGTGTAATCGTGCAGTGATGGCATGGCATGACAGCGGTGGCATAGCCTTAGGAGTGGAAGGAGGAATGGCTTAGTCCTCTGATCCATGACATATAGTGCTCCCCTTGGTTTTTCACTCCCATTACCTTGTCCCCCAAAGGAATGATAAACAAGTTCATTATGATAATTTGCGGCCTTGTGTAATCTATGGTGACCCCAAATGTTGTCCTTCCAAGAACTTGGTTATGCCCCAGCATGGCAAGATTGTATTTTTTTGGCTCTGGCTTCACTGGCAGAGGCCTTAGAGGAGGATAGCTACTGTAATTTAATAAGTACCATACTGTCTATAAAAAGAAAAAAAAATGTATATGTTAAGATAAAGTAAAGAAGAGAGTGTAATTACCATAGATTTGTCTACGGACATTGTAAATACTGATGTGTATGAGACTGAATCCAATTTTTGTGAGCACTGTCATTATATAAAGTTTAAGAATTTAGAATTTTTGTGGATTAATGCATTTGTTTTCGTTTCCTCCGTCCAGGTTGCCTCCTACATTCCGCAGCTGGCTAGGTTCAGTCCAGACCACTGGGGGGTGTCAGTGTGCACCATTGATGGCCAGAGGTACTCCATTGGCGACACTGACATTCACTTCACCATGCAGTCTTGTAGGTAAGATGGCATTAGGATCTAAACCTGTATTGTTACACATTTGTTAGAGTCTATGCTTTCACTTTTTCAGTTTATTCAATATATTTTTTGATGTGATGTGTTTGTATTGTTCACAGCAAATTTTCATATGGTATTCAAATCCAGCTCACATCTCCAGAAACAAAACTAACCCCCTGTACTCATACATGTCTCCTTACCCATTCCTTCTTCGTAAACAGAGCTCATGACAACATGTTTTATTGGAAATTAATAATTGCACAAAACAGTTATTGATTATTTTGATTTTGTAATCTTCACTTGAAATTTGGAGATTGCCTACTCAGTTATATAATCAAAATTATTCATCTTACCTTAAGTATAAATCATTCTAATGTGTATATTTTTCATGACTGATTATAATTGGACATAACACAACCTTTCATAGTGTATAAAAAGCTGTTAGTCATGTATACATTTGTTATAGGTATAAATTAACCTACTAGATATTATATTGCTGTCTTTGATATGTAAACTGACTACTACTACATATTTTTAATTTCTTTTCATGCTTGTGATGCTTTTATCTCATATTTTCTTTACCTGTCTTGTTGCAAAACTGCATCATGATTTAATTTTGTGATCGAAAGCTCTATACTTGTGAATGCTAATATTCTTAGGAAGGCTTCAATTTCCAAGCATTCATTTGAAAACATGTCTACACCTTTATCACCTTATTCTTAAGAAATTACTGCAGTATCACAGTTCTCTCTCTCTTTGCTTCATTGCTTTTTGACGTTTACATAGGTCCCTTGAATATTTACATAGTGGCATTTACTAATAAAAGTTTCATTAATCCACAGTAAACCAGTAACGTATGCGATTGCTCTTAATGAACTGGGTAACGAAACAGTCCATAAGTATGTAGGGACTGAACCCAGCGGTCGAATGTTCAACGCAATTGTCCTCGACTATAATGGTTAGTAGTGTTTGTGTTGTGGTTCCTTCTTTCTCTGTGGGAGACGCAGAGAATGGATGAAGGTAGATGAAATTTGGGATTTGGGGATCGATTGTGATGGGAGCAGTACTTGTAGTGGTACAAAGGATCGTTAATTACATGATTGTTTTATACAATATAATAGAAAAAAATGTCCATTTCTCATTCACAAAATGATGAAGGTTGCTTCTAAAATACCGCCGAGGTTTTATTTTCCTATGTAAACTCATAGACACAATGTCAAGTAATGTACAATATATCCGAAGAATAGTACACAATATTCTTTCAAAAAGTTATCGAAATTCTTAATGTTCGGAATTCATACAGAGCATTAATCACTAATTGCCCAATATATAAAACACCTTTTCCATTTCTCTCTACATTGTTGTGTTACAGTTGTTCACAGCAGGGCAGCACCAGTGATTTGTTATTTTATATCAATGAAACAATAATTCGCATGCTACGATGAGTTTTCATGAAAGCTCCATGGACAGCTATGCGACTCCGTGTAGGCTTCGTGAGTCCGTTTTCTACGAAGTTAATCCTTAGGTCAGAGGAGACAGGTTACGGTTATATATTCTTGCGCAGATCTTGAGCTTGGGTACATTCCTTTGTTATAACCAGAAATATTTCCACCGGATTGGTCTCTATACGCTTTTCACTCGAAAGGCACGTGGAAGGAACACCACGTCCGTTGTTTCTTCTTGAACAGATGACATTTGTTGTAATTTTAGCAAACTGAGGATGAATGATGATTTGTCGGTCTCACAGATGCATATTTTGTATAGTATTTGATAACGCAAGGATTTGTAAATTATTATTATGGAGAATAATAAGTGGAAGGAACACCACGTCACCTACTTCTGTTTAAAGAGATGGAATTTTTATTTATGAGGATGAATTGATTTACAGATGCATATTGTATTTGATATTTGCTGTTTAAAGAGATGGAATTTTTATTTAGCAAAGTGAGGATGAATAATGATTTGTCGCCTTCACAGATGCATATTTTTTATAGTATTTGATATGTCTAGAATTTGTGAATTATTATTTTGCCTGATAATCTATGTTTTTAATTTAGGTGACAGATTGTGATCTTTGGACGCCTTTCCCTTCCCGAACAGATAAACCGCACAATCCCTTGGTCAACGCGGGCTCCATCCTAGTCAATGGTCTTCTGCAGAGTCTAGTCAAACCCGATATGTCTTCGTCCGAAAAATTCGATTACGTTCAGCAGTATTTTAAGGTAGGTGGCTGGTGAACATGTGATGCGGCATGGAACTCTTTTTTCTGGAAGAATCTGAATGTTATTTGGGAATATTAATACGATGACTTTGGTGGCACAGTCCTCATGGGATGACTTGACATATTTCGTATTCTATATTAAAGTCGTGAAGGAAGATAATTATTGCAGTGCAGTATAATTGGGTTCACTCTCGAAAGAAATCTGATGTTTCACTTATCTACCCAATATTTACTTCATAAATACTTTTTTGAACAGTCATCCTCTCTTTTACCTTATTATTAGATCTTAAGTCCTGCTCCTCCTCCTCAGTTAAGGGCCTTGGCAACAGCAAAATGATTATTGTTCTTCGCTAATTCTTATGCATTTTTTCAAAAGCACCGACTTACCACCTCCTTCCTTAGTATGTTACTTACACCCTCTATTTAAGCGGGGATTTGTAGGTGGACAACAGAAGCGGTACATGTGTTTATTCAGATATTAAAAAAACTAACCAGCCCATCTTTTACTTTGAATACAACTGAGACTTCCTGCCCTCCAGCGCCTCTCACAAGAAGCATTCGCTATTTCTTTAACATACTGAAGGAAAGGGAGCCACATCTTGCATTATTCACACAACCCTCCTATCTTCTTCTTCTTCTTCTTCTTCTTCTTCTTCTTCTTCTTCTTCCTCTTCCTCCTCCTTCTCTCCTCCTCTCCTCCTCCTTCCTCCTCCTCCTCCTCTCCTCCTCCTCCTCCTCCTCCTCCTCTTCTTCCTCCTCCTCCTCTCCTTTCATGACCGAGAGCGAGGACGAGGACTCCGGCGGCGCGTCTCTCACACAGTCACCAATCCTTCTAACATTTAAAAACAAAAAAAAAAAAGTTATTAAAAAAAAGCTTTATTAACGCCCTCCCCTTGCCGGGGGACGAGTACGTGGGCTTCAGCATCTCTCAACATTCCTGTCCTTAAATTCAAAAAAAAAAAAAAAAACATTAAGGAACCGACTCAAAGCGTATGTACGTGGGCTTCAGCATCTCTCAAATTCACCAATCCTGGCTAGGAAACTGCCGCCCCTCCCTGCAGCGCATGGCCGGGGGACGAGTACGTGTACTTCAGCATCTCTCAAGGCACATTAATCCTGTTCTTAACATTAAAAAAAAACATTAATTTAGCTAGGACCGACTCACTGCCGCCCCTCCCCTTGGAGTACGTGTACTTCAGCATCATGTCTGAAGGCACATTCACCAATCCTGTCCTTAACATTCAAGCTAGGAACCGGAATTACGCTTCAGCAAAGGCGGCTAAACATTAAAAAACAACAACAACAACAACAACAAAAAAACATTAATTTAGCTAGGAACCGACTCACTGCCGCCCCTCCCCTGCAGCGTATGGCCGGCGGCGAGTACGTGGGCTTCAGCAACGGGACCTTCCTGTCGGAGCGGGAGAACGCCGACCGCAACTTCTCGCTGGGCTACTACATGCGCGAGAACAAGTGCTTCCCGGAGAAGTGCGACCTCATGGCGTCGCTCGATCTCTACTTCCAGGTGAGGCTCTGTCGTTAAGGCTGGGAGGTTTTAGTTTTCTATTTTTTATTTTTTTTATTTTTTTTTTTCTTTTTCTTTTTCTTTTTTGTTTCTTTCTTTCTCTTCTTTCTTTCTTTCTTCTTTCTGTCTTTTTCTTTCTTTCTTTCTGTCTTTTCCTTTCTTTCTTTTAAAGATATGGGGGTTCTTGGGATGCTTGTTGTATAGATGATGGATTTTTCGTGCTGGGATTTGTGTTAAATTTGTTGTAATTTATTTGAGACATTTTTTATTTTTAGATTTAGATTTACAGACAGTTATTGTCCTTGTTAGTTTATCTGTTTATCTATAATTTTCATTTTATTAACTTTAGTATGTGCGTCGGTCGTTCAACTTTAGTTGATGTTGCTTGGTCGTTTTCCACTTTTAACCATATTTATTTATTTATTTATTTCTGTCTTTTTCTTTCTTTATTTCTTTTAATAATAAGGGGGATTGTTAAGTAAGCAGGGACTCTCTCTACTGGACGATGCAGCTCCACCGATTTTATTTTTACCAAAATCGGGTAATTCATTAACAGATTTCTTTCAGACATTCCGTGGTTGGTGGTTCAGGTCCTGCTCGGTCTGATTTCAGCTTAAGTTAACGTTTTGTCTTGGTAACAGTGCAAAATTTCCTTTTACATTTTCAAAAAAAACATTGGATGAATAATGTAAGGGGAACAGAAGGTAAGGCCACACAGAACTGAAACGCCGGTGTATACAAATTTCCCTTTATTTTTTTTACAAGAACCTTAAGTTAACATGTCAACACGTACGCGAGATGGAACAGGCATAGCTTTCCTACCGAGGGGAGGGGGGGAGGGGGAGGGGGAGAACAGCTGTAACAAAGGACAGAACGAAGCTCTACGCGCGTGGAAGCCTCAATCGAGATAACTAGCAAAATAAAGTTGAATATATTGAACCATAGCAACTTAAAGTTAGGTGTGTATAAAATTATAAAATATTTCGTCAACGATTGAATCACAGTGTGTATCTTATGGACTCTTTGTACTAGAACTTAAGGAGGGAGGGAGGCTTTCTCGTTGTGATTTTGGCGGGATGGCGTTCCGCGGCTTTGGCTTTCCGTTGAAGTTGCTCGCACGCGCCTCGTGGAGCCAAACACTGCTGGTCGTATGAATAAAGTCGATCTTGAGGTCTAGAAGTGTCAAAGTTTCTTTTATTCCCTTTTTATATTACTGTTGGTTCCCAATTAGAGGAAGTCGAGTCCATGGGACGTAAGAGAAAGATGGTAAAGGTCACTCCTCGTGGCGGTGTTTCGGGCGGCGGCTGCAGGGGCGCCGCCCGCGAGGCGGACGCTGCGGCCGGGCCGTTGGTGACGTGGTAATGACGTCAAGACTTTTGGGATGACGTAGTGATGGCGTCAGAGATTTTTTGGTGACGTCAGGATATTTGGATGACGTATGATGCCGTCGTGAAATTAGCATGACGAACCTTGTCCAGAGCTTCTTATCCCGTCATCATGTCCATAAACTCTGCAAAAGGGAGGCCATGAATTAGAGCGCCTTTGAGCGTCCGCCAAGGGACCGGAGGAGGAGGAGGGCGAGCGCCATTTGTCAAACACGCGCGCTCGCACGCACGCACATGCACCTCCCCCTCCTCCCCATGCATATGTATAGATATAAAGAGACAGAAATAGAAATCCATTGCCCATAATATCCCACTCCTTTGCGTACGTGTGCCTGTCAGTCTGTGCGTCAAAGTGCGTGTGTCTGTCTGTCTGTCTGTGTTCTATGTGTCACTGTGTGTGTGTGTCTATGTGTCAATGTGTGTGTGTGTCTATGTGTCACTGTGTGTGTGTGTGTCACTGTGTGTGTGTGTGTGTCTGTGTGTGTGTGTGTGTGTGTGTGTGTGTGTGTGTGTATGTGTGTGTGTGTGTGTGTCTATGTGTCACTGTGTGTGTGTGTGTGTGTGTGTGTGTGTGTCAATGTGCGTCAATGTGTAATGTGTGTGTGTGTGTGTCTGTCTGTGTGCGAGCCCGCCTGCAAGAGCCTCCTACCATCGAAGTCGACGGTGCCGGACCCGTCCTGGTCGATCTCGTCGATGATGCCGTCGAGCTCCTCGTCCGTGAGCTTGTCGTCCAGCTCGTGCAGGATCTCGCGCAGGACGCCCGTCGGGATGAAGCCCTGGCCTGGGGGGGGGGGGAGGGGGGAGGGGCAGCGTTCGTTAGTGGTGCTTTTGTCAGTGATGATAACAGTGATGGTAATGATTATTATCATTATCATTATTTTCGCTATTGTTCTTATTATTGTTATTATTATCATAACTATCATTATAGAACTTATAACACCACCCGGAAATATATATATATATATATATATATATATATATATATATATATATATATATATATATATATATATATGATTTCAGTTTCTTTTTGATATACTCCACATTAGCCTAAGGCAGCATCTCATCCTCCAGGAAGTGAGATTCCCCGAAGCGAAATGCTTTATCGTCGCCCTCCCTCGCGCGGGAGCCAAGATGGCGTCGCGCTTCATAAACAGCGAACTCGGAAGGGGATTAAATCTGATAGAATTAATTAAATCTCACGCGATGGAAGTAGATTCGTGGTGAGCTTAGTGTGGTTTCCCGCTTCTTAATTTTATTTTTTATTTTTTTATGTGGTTTTGTATCTTTTCTCTGTAAAAATGAATTTCTTTGGTTATTTCAGGCATTTTGATTCCTCTTCCGGTTGTCGTTTTTGTTGATAATGTCTTGCAGGTTCTTCTTTCTTCTCTCTCTATCTTACATTTTAAGAAAAGAATAATAACATTGATGATGATTATAATAAAAAATAATAATGATAATGATGATTATGATAATAATTGTTGTGATAATAGTGATAATGATGATGGTAATGTTATTATTATCATTACTATCATTATTATTATTGTTATTTCCTGTTTTCATTACCATTTTTCTTGTTACTTTTCATCATTTTTCTCTGCCTCGTTCTCTTTATTTTCTCTACATTTTCACGATTTCGTATTGGTGTTTATTCATGTTTCTCCACTCCACTGCATTTTCTTCTTCGATCTTCTTTTTATTTCTCTTCTTCTTTCTCAATTCTCTTCATATTCTCTCTCGTCCGCTTTTTTCCCTTGGTTTCCTTCTCTTCTCTTCCTCCTTTTATTATCATTCGTTTCTTCTCGTTCTTATTTTCTTCTTCGTTTTCATTCTATAAACATATATATATATATTTTTTTTTTGCTTTTCCCTTTTTTTCCGTATTTTATTTTCATATTTAACTTTGTGCTTATTCCCATCTTTATTCATTTCTCTACGTTATCTATTCTTTGAGGGGAACAAACAATGTATATATATATATATATATATATATATATATATATATATATATATATATATATATATATGTATATATGTTTATTGATTTATAGATAGGAAATAAGTATTTAGATTATGTTGCTGGGACTCCCTCGCGACAGCTCCCGGGAGAAGGCGGCGTCCGTGTCCTCGGGAAGGTTCAGGCAAGAAACACTCTTTATAAACCTCGAGTAAAAAAGCAAATATCTGGCGGACCTAAATACCTCTTCCGCCATCTTGTTTAGAAAGATGGATGACAAAGTGACGGTTCGCTTTTGATGCTTAATGTTCGTTAAGAGTGAAGGATGTCTCTGAACGACTTTTTTTTTTCTTCTTTTCTTTTTTGTTTTTTCCTCGTCGTCGTAATTCAAGAAGTAAGAGATGTGTTCTCTTTGTTTCTTTTCTTTCTTTTGATGAATGTTAATGGCGTTTTCCTCTGACGTCCCTTTTGTTTTTTGTTTTTCTCCGATGAATTTAAGGAAGAGATGACGAGTTCAGTGACTTGCGCTTTCTCTTTCCTTCGCCATTAAGATGCGGAGAGATGCCAGGGGGGCGGGGGCGGGGGGGGGGGGGGCTTCCGTTCCCTGTTTCTTCTTCAGATTCCCCGAAATAGAACGATGACGTGCGTTCTCGCCGTTCCGTAGATCTTCGCCTTATTCTGAATAAACCGCGGGACTTGGGCGGCCGCTTCTTATTCCCAGATCTTGAGAAGGAACAGGTAAAATAAAAAAAAATGTTTCTTGAAGCCTTCCTCGTTCCGAACTCGTGGAAATTGGCGTCCTTCGATCCGTCGGGCGATTCCGGAGTTGGAGAGGAAGGATAGAGGTTAAAGAGAGAGAAGTGACTCAGGGGGAGACTCAGAGGGAGGGGCTCTAAGGGTAGACTTAGAGGGAAGGCAAAGGGAAGAATTGAAGGAAGGCAAAGGGGAGAATTGAAGGGAGAATTGAAGGAAGGCAAAGGGAAGGATTGAAGGGAGACTCAGAGGGTAGACTTAGAGGGAAGAGAAAGGGAAGAATTGAAGGGAGCCTCAGAGGGAGAATTGAAGGAAAGCAAAGGGAAGGATTGAAGGGAGACTCAGAGGGAAGAGAAAGGGAAGAATTGAAGGGAGCCTGAGGGTAGACTTAGAGGGAAGAATTGAAGGAAGGCAAAGGGGAAATTGAAGGAAGCCAAAGGGAAGGATTGAAGGGAGACTTAGAGGGGTAAGAAAGGGAAGAATTGAAGGGAGCCTGAGGGTAGACTTAGAGGAAGGCAAAGGGAAGAATTGAAGGAAGGCAAAGGGGAGAATTGAAGGGAGAATTGAAGGAAGGCAAAGGGAAGAACTGAAGGGAGACTTGAAGGGTAGACTTAGAGGGAAGAGAAAGGGAAGAATTGAAGGGAGCCTCAGAGGAAAGATTGAAGGAAAGCAAAGGGAAGGATTGAAGGGAGACTTAGAGGGAAGAGAAAGGGAAGAATTGAAGGGAGCCTGAGGGTAGACTTAGAGGGAAGAATGAAGAAGGCAAGGGGAGAATTGAAGGAAGCCAAAGGAAGGATTGAGGGAGACTTAGAGGGTAAGAAGGAAGAATGAAGGGAGCCTGAGGGTAGACTTAGAGGGAAGGCAAAGGGAAGAATTGAAGGGAGAATTGAAGGAAGGCAAAGGGAAGGATTGAAGGGAGACTCAGAGGGTAGACTTAGCGGGAAGAGAGAGGGAAGAATTGAAGGAAGGCAAAGGGGGAATTGAAGGAGCCTCAGTGGGAGAATTGAAGGAAAGCAAAGGGAAGAACTGAAGTGAGCCTGAGGGTAGACTTAGAGGGAAGGCAAAGGGAAGAATTGAAGGAAGACAAAAGGAAGAATTGAAGGGAGCCTTAGAGGGAAGGCAAAGGGAAGAATTGAAGGAAGACAAAAGGAAAATTGAAAGAAGCCTCAGAGGGGTGAGAAAGGGAAGAATTGAAGAGAGCCTCAGAGGGAGACTTGAAGGGAACCTCAGAGGGTAGACTTAGAGGGAAGAGAAAGGGAAGAATTGAAGAGAGCCTCAGAGGGAATTGAAGAAGGCAAAGGGAAGAATTGAAGGAGAATTGAAGGGAGCTTCAGAGAGAATGAAGGAAGCAAAGGGAAGAATTGAAGGAGAATTGAAGCGAGCCCAGAGGGAGACTTGAAGTGGGTTCCAAAGGGAGACTGACCTTCTTTGTCGTATAATCTGAAGGCTTCGTAGAGTTCCTTCTTGAGCTCCTCCTCGTCCTCCTCGTTCATGAACTTGGTGGCCAGGAGGCAGAACTCGTTGAACTCCAGCTCTCCGGATCCTGCGGGCGGGGGAGGGCGGGCGGTTAGGAGGGTGGGCGCGAAGGTGGGCGGGGGGGGGGTCGAATTCCTATTCTTTTTGTTAGTTTTGCTTTCTCGGTTTTTATCTCTCTCTCTCTGTCTGTCTCTCTCTCTCTCTCTCTCTCTCTCTCTCTCTCTCTCTCTCTCTCTCTCTCTCTCTCTCTCTCTCTCTCTCCTCTCTCTCTCTCTCTCTCTCTCTCTCTCTCTCTCTCTCTCTCTCTCTCTCTCGTAAACACTCACTCGCACATGCATACATAAATCATCAGCATCTAACATCGAAGTATAAAAAATGTAAATAAAAAATCCACATCACCGCCATACCTCAAGGACGAAACAAATAAAATAAAACATAATTCACTGAATAAAAAAGGATGACATGAAAGATTCCGATGAAAACATGATATATTGAACACATGGCATAGAGTGAGGCAGACAGGGACAGATAGATAGATAGACAGAGAGGGAGAAAGACTACAGACAGACAGCAGCGGATAGACAGACAGAGAGGGAGAAAGACTACAGACAGACAGCAGCGCAGACAGAGAGGGAGAAAGACCACAGGCAGACGGAGGCAGAGATAGAGAGAGACAGACAGATAGAGAGACAGACCACATGCAGACGGAGGCAGATAAAGAGAGACAGACAGATAGAGAGACACAGACAGACAGACAGACGGAGCGACAGCCAGACAGAGAGACACAGAAAGACAGACAGACAGAGCGACAGCCAGACGGGCGCGGGGGGCGGGCGGCCGTGTTGCAGCAGTTTTGCAACGTTAACTCTCCTCGCCTGGGTACGCGCGGGCGGGCCGGGCTGGGGCCTTGCCAAGTGCGAATCGCGATGCGCACGGAGGGTACTGTGCCTCGATATAGTAATAAGGAATATTTTATAGCTTTTATAGCTACTAAATGATAAGCTTTCAAAGTGGAAATGGCTTTGGTGGAAGGAAAGGGACGCGGGAGGGAGTTGTGCGGGGCGGGGATCTCGATTCTTGACGAGGGCGATCGCGGTGGCGCTGATCCGCCCGAGGGAGACGAACCGCGCGAGGTGGGAGGAGATTATCCGTTCGGGAAGAGACTCCGGCAGCGTGTGTGGCCGGGGATGCGGGCTCGGGTTTCCAAATGCGTGTCGAGAGGACTTTTAGCGTGTTATTGCTTCATGTTTTAATTATTGCGGGTTGTTTCAGGTTGGTTTTAAATTTTTGGCCATGAGTGGAGTTGGTTTTTATGTGTATGTTGTTTATATAATGAGTTTTGGAGTTTGTTTGTTTTTTTTAGTCATGTCATGAGCTTGTTTTTTATGATTATTATTTTTGTTTTATAGGTTTAATGACGTTTGTTGAAACCCTTTTAGATTTTCAGCCATATGCTGAGTTCATTTTCTCCCGTGCGATTTTATGTTACTTTATTCTTTTTGAATTTGGAGTCAAGAGGGAAAAAATATCGCATCCTAGATTTGCCGAAGGATGAGAAGAGCTGGTAAGCCGAAAGCACCTGGCGGATCCCTGCCAGCCGTGGGCCAACCTCTCGGGGCGTAAGGCCGCAGCTGAAGGGAATTTCTGCGTCAAATTCCGCGCCAGGAACATTTATTATTAGATGGAGCGAGTAATGCAAAATGCCATTTTCAGCTCTCTCTCTCTCTCTGTCTCTGTCTCTCTCTCTCTCTCTCTCTCTCTCTCTCTCTCTCTCTCTCTCTCTCTCTCTCTCTCTCTCTCTCTCTCTCTCTCTCTCTTCCCTCTCCCTCTCCTCTCCCTCTCCTCTCCCTCTCCCTCTCCCTCTCCTCTCCTCTCCTCTCCTCTCCCTCTCCCTCTCCCTCTCCTCTCCCTCTCCTCTCCTCTCCTCCCCTCCCCTCCCTCCTCCCTCCCTCTCCCTCTCCCTCTCCTTTAGTTCAGGTGTTCAAAGAGGCTAATTTCGGGTCTTTATTTATCTGAGGAAGAAAGGAGGGACGGACGGCGCGACGGAGGCGGCCGTGATGTGGCCCCGATTTATTGCTTCGTAATGGAGACGGGGAGGGGGAGGGGGGGGAAAGAGGAGAGGCGGGTTGTGAGGGAGAGAGAGAGAGAGAGAGAGAGAGAGAGAGAGAGAGAGAGAGAGAGAGAGAGAGAGAGAGAGAGAGAAGAGAGAGAAAGAGAGATGAAGAGAGAGAGAGAGAGAGTAAGAGAGAGGGAAAGAAAGAAAGAGAGAAAAGTGAAAGAGAGAGAGAGAGAGTAAGAGAGGGAAAGAAAGAGGAAAAAGTGAAAGAGAGAGACAGAAAGAGAGAAAAAGAAAAGCGAAAAATAGGTCTTAGGAAATGAATAATGAGTGAGAGAGCGAAAAACGAACGGCAACCAGTGCCATCCGAGCGGACGCAGCCCGAGGACGCCCTACCGTCCACGTCGACCTCTTCGATGATCTGGTTGAGGATCGTTCTGTTGACCGTCTGGCCCATCATGCGCAGCACCACGCCCACGGTGTCCGTCGAGATGGCGCCCTTCTTGTCCGAGTCGAAGCTGTCGAAGGCGCGCTTCAGGACTGCGCGGGGGGGGGGGCAAGGGATGTGGTTAGGCAGAGACATATATGGTATGTATGTATATATAAATATATACATACACAAATATATATACATGTATATACACATACACGCAAACACACTGTTCATTATTTCATTCAGACACAACTGATGAGAGTTTAATCAGATATTCGCGAGCGCTGAGATCGCCGCCAGCGAGCGCAGCCCCGCAGGTCCTCACCGGCCATCTGCTCGGGGTCGATCGGCGGCAGCTCCATTTCCTCCTGAAAGCGCGAGACAAACGGCTTCTTAGATCTCTGTTTGTTACATAGACAGCAAAAAGGGGGGTTTACGAGTATTACTTAGACAAAAAAAGGGGGTTTACGAGATAGTTGGGAGGATAGTTGGAGAGAGAAAACATAAGGGTATAATACTACATAGACAGCAAAAAAGGGGTTTAAAAGATAGTTGGAGAGAGAAAAAACATAAGGGTATCATACTACATAGACAGCAAAAGGAGGTTTGGCGGATAGTTGGAGAGAGAAAACACGAGGGTATATTTCTTAGGTACTTTGTAGATAGAAATTTTGATGAATATATATTTGTAATTAGAGAAAATGCCGTAAATATTCGGACTCATAGGAATAAATATGTACAATAATTAGATGGTTTTATGAGAGAGAGGAAGGGAAGAGAAAGACCATTAATCACAAGAGAAATTGACACAATTACTCGCGTTCCAAGAGAAGTGAAAAATGGCTTGTTGAAGCGTGTCTTTAGGGCTTCGAATGAAGCACTGACTTCGTTTGTATGTTTGTTTGTTTTTCATGTCACGTGTTAGAAATGTCTTCGCATGTCATTATAATACTTCTTTGAAATAATATGTGGAAATGTCCTAGAACGGCATATTAAAAAAACGAAAATGTAGCTAAAATGGGAAGTAAAGTTAGATAAAGGAATGTCTAGAAATACGGGAAAGAGGAAATTGACGAATGGAACGTCGAAAACGCATTTCAATTACAGAAAAGTCGAAGTTCAAGACGTCATGTAAAAGCCCGCGAACTATTTTAAGCCCCGGATGAAGGTTGAAGCGCGAGCGGAAACATTATGTACAGTTCTTGATATGCATCAACGTTCATATGTTTTGCACCCTTGCTGGTATTAAGATCATTTATTTCACGGAACTAGTCTATTTTTATTGTTGTTTTTTTCCTTTCTTTCTTTCTTTTTTTGCTCTAAAACCCTCGCCGCGTGATAAATACGCCAGCGAGATTATTTCGTTGTGTCATATGGTGTTCCTCCGCCTTCCTGACAGTCGCATTAAAATGGTTCTGATAAGGGCCATTTGGGGACTCGTTTTTGTGGCGGAGGAAACGCGGATCAGCTGATGGCGTTGAGGGTCCTACGTGTTACGCCTTCTTCTTCTTCCTCCTCTTCTCTTTTTTCCTTCCTCTATTTACATAACTTTGTCTTTTTTTTCCTTACACCTTTCGATTTAATCAGATACAGGTGGAAATACGAGTCATGCGCCGCGCCTCGAGATGACACCGTTATCTGGCTGCACATGGCGCGGCGGGCACGCGGCGGCGGCGGCGGCGGCGGCATGCGCGCACGCGTTCCTTGCGCCCGCGGACCGTGCAATCCGTTTCCCTTTTCTCCTCCTTTACTCGTTTCTCTGCTTCTCTTGTTTCTCTCTTGTCCCTCCACCCATTGCTTGTTTTTTCTTCTTTTTCGTATTTTTCTCTTTTCTTTTTTTCCTTCTCTCCTTTTCTCCTTATTCCCCTTCTCCCCCTCTGCTTGTTCGTCTCCCCTTCCTTCCTTTTTTTTCTTCCTCTCATTCACTTATCCTTGCCGCATCCCCGGTCCCACCTTGTCATATTTCCTCCCTTTCTATGTCTTTCTCTGTCAATATACCTAGCCATATGTACGTCTATCTATTTCTATATCTATTTCGCCCCCCCCCCCTCGCGCCCTCTCCCTTGTCACCCTTTCACCACTTCTCTTGCTGGCTGTTTTTTCTTCCCACTTCTCCTTTTCCTTCCTCTCTTCCCTCCCTGTCCTCTCCCATCCGGTTCCCCCTTCTTCCTCCTTTATCCCTCTCCCCTCTGCCTTCTTTTTCATATCCTCTCTCCCTCCCTCTTTTTTCTCCCCTCTCCCCCTCCCCCTCACCTTCCTCCCCTCTTCGCTCACTCTCCGCCCCCCCCCCTGCCCCTCCATCCCCAAACCATCCTGCCACCCCTCCCCTTCCCGCCTTCCCTTCCCCCCTCCCTTCCCTCTCCTTTCCCCCTCCCATCCCTCTTACCCCCCCTTCCCGCCTTCATTCCCCCCTCCCCCCTCCTCCGCAGCCGAGGCCTAGCCCCCCCCCCCCCCCCCCGGCGGCGCACCTGTCGCCCTCGTCCGCCGCGGATTTCGAGTCGGCGTGACGTCTCCGCCGAAAAAAATGGCCGACATCGCGTTTTTCATTCTTTTTTTTTTTTTTTTTTTTTTTGCGGCGCCGCTGTCTCGTTCGTTAACTCGCGTCTTTACGAGAGAAAGATGTCTTCTGCAGCTTTTGATTTTCACTTTTGTTTGTTTTTTTTGTTATTGTTTTGTCTTCTATTTTTTTTACGGAGATGTAGCGGATGTAGCTTTAGTATTACTGCTGCATTGGTTTTTTTGTGATGCTTGTGGAAGCACGAGACGAAAGCTGCACTTGCGAAGGAGGCCGAGTGCTGGCTTAGCGCGGGGGGGGGGGGGAACCGGAGGAAACAGGCAATGTGTGTGTGTGGGTGTATATGTATATATGTAGACACACACATACACACACACAACATATATATATATAAATAATATATATGTATATGTATATTACAATAATATATATATATATATATATAGTATAATATATATAATATATATACACACACACATATATATATAATATATAATATATATATTATATAATATATATAATTATATTATATAATATATACATACACATTATCAAAACGTTGTCAGGCAAAAAACGTGAAAAGGCTGAAAGGTACGGAGGGGGGGGAGGGGGGCTCCCGTTTTATAAATATCGCGTCAGATCTCGTCCCTTCGCTCCCTTCGCCTCCCTTCGCGGCGAGAGCACTGCAGCGCCTGAGACAGGAGCACGTCGCCGTGTGCTCATCCGGGTGCTCTGGAGGCGGCGGGAGAAGGGCGTCCCATACACGGCGCGAGTCGTGGGCCTGACACGGGCGTCGGAGGGAAGTGTGAGGCCCTGCAGAAGGCGAGGTCCAGGGCTTCTAACGAGCGAGGTCTCGAGCGCTGGACGCCGGTCGATTCCTCTTCTCTTCCTCGTCTCCCTTGAGCTCTCCCTCCTCTGCCGCGTCTGACCTTCTGCAACATCCCGGCCCTTGGGTCTTGCAGGAGCGCTGCCAGACGCCCTCGCGAGCCAAGGCCGCGTCAGCAGCGGCGGGGACTCGGGATCTACGCGAGGAGGCTGGGGGGCGGGGGTTCTTTCTTTATTTCTCTCTCTCTCTCTTGTTCATTTTCTTCTCTCTTCTCTCATCTCTCTCTCTCTCTCCTCTCTCTCTCTCTCTCTCTCTCTCTCTATATATATATATATATATATATATATAATATATATAATAATATATGTATGTAGTATGTATGTATGTATGTAGTATGTATGTATGTATGTATGTATGTATGTATGTATGTATGTATTGTATGTATTATGCTATGTATGTATTATGTATGCATGCATGCATGATGCATGTATCCCTAGACCCAGAGCAGCGTCCTCCGGCAGAGCGACTCCACCGCCAGCGGAAGGCGCCGCCCGCCGCCGCCTCGTACCCGCCGCGACGCGGCGCTTCCCTGACGATCGCGGGAGATCCGGGGCGTCGTCGCGGCGCTGACGAGGCGCCAAGCCAGCGCGATTTGCAGTCGTCGTCGTCGTGAGTGATGCAACGACAGCGCTCGCGGCGGAGATTGCCTCGCAAGGGGGGGAGGGGGGGGGAATGCTGCAGACCGCGAATTCGCAGGCGCCTGTGTTGTGGCTCTCCGTTTGGCCATTTCTTCTATTTCTGCTCCCGCGTTTCAATCTGGAGACGGAATTGGCCACTTCAGAGGCAAACACACTGATAAGGCTGAGTGCGAGAGGCATATTTCAGGCGCGAATTGCGCTGCGGGGGGGGGGGGGTAACATTGCAGGGAGGTGGAAAGTTCGTGGAAAATTGCATAAAGTTTTTTTATGATTTTTATGATTGAATGTAAATAGACAAGTTATTTTTCGTAAATATTTCTTTTCCGACTCGTAAGTATTGTTAGGCGTAGCGACAGCATGGCGCAGAAGGGAACATTCGCTGCGCCAAATGTGCTCAAATCAGATGCATTTTTTCTGCCCGTCAATGTACGACCCTTAAGGCATTGTTCTGTGCATTGAGTTTTATTTCAAAGTTATTTTTTTAAGGTTTTGATGATTTTTGTTAGATTTGCATCATTCTAACTCGAACAACAGTCAGCAGAAAGGTGTCGCTAATTTAAAAAAGAAAAACGGGTACACAACTAATGCTACTGAGGTGACCTATATTTGGATCGACCCCTCCCCTTCCCCCCCCTCCTCCCTCCCCCCCCTCCCTCCGTCTCCTGACTTCAGACCCCACCCTTCAACCCACAATCCGCCCACCCCTCTCCCATACCCTTCCCACCCCCCCACCCCACCCCCCCACCCCGCCTCAACTCCTCGACAGAGAATTATAACCTACATTTGACGGGTGCAGGGGGCAGGGGGCGGGGGCGGGGGAGCAGCCACAGGTGGGGAGGGAGAAGGAATCAGCGAAGAGGCAGGAAGTGGATGCGTTCGAGAGGGGGAGGGACGGAAGGGTGAGGGAGGAGGGAGAGGGGGAACCCAGGGATAGGTGGGGCGTGGGAAGGGTAGGCGAGAGGGCGAAGTACCCAGCGAAGGTAGAAAGAAGAGGGAGGGAGGGGCTGGGAGGGCATTAGAGGGGAGAAGGGAGGGGTAGGGCATGGGGAAGGGGGGGGGGCGCCCATCGAACAGTGCGAGCGGCAGGCGCGCTCGGCCCAGAATCACAAGCATTTATCACGAAAGGTTATGGTATAGTGAGCGTGGCTGATCGATCCCTCGAGTTATCGGCGATTGTGATTTTGATGCCTTTTTAGCGTCTGGTTTCCCTCTTCCACTCTCTTCCTCCTTCGATAATCATTTCTCTTCCCTTGCGTTGATTTTCTCTGGTTTTTTATTTTCGCAGCGGCTTTGTGGTTTGCTTTGTCTCCTTCCTATTCCTTTGTACTT